CCTCCGCTAGCTAGATCACACTCTCTTCCGCGCTCGTGCGTTAGAATCCACCATCACATACGCATGCCGGGATCAGCTGCGTGAAGCTATCGAGCTCATCCTCGAGCTTCTGTTGATCGCCATCCTCTGTGACCTCTGTCGGTGCGTAGGCAGTTTGGAAGTCACCGCTCCGCTCTTCTCGATCGGTCATAACAGAATACCCTGCACCCTGCTCCTATATGCTCCGTTTGCCCAGGCCTTCTCGCCTTCTGCATTCCCGCCACAGCGATGATACCTTGTTGTGCCACTTTGTAGAGCACGCTGTAGGCTCGGCCGTGTTGGGAAACTCGTGGGTTCAGGGGGGAATATGTTGAGTCAAGACCTTAATCCAGAGAGACGTAACCCGATGGCTTCCTTTTTCAGCCAACGTCCGAACATCGTTGGTAACCGGTGTCAGTTTTACTCTGCTGTCTCGCCCGTTCCTCACGCCAGCAAGCCTAAGCTCAGCCCGGCCCCGTCTCCTCCGTTTAGGGTCTCCCGCACTTTCTTCAGTGAGCAGTTCAACCTATAGTCTAGACTGTTGCTGTAGGTTGAACTGCCCACGATGTGGGCACTTCATGGGCACGTCATGGGCCGCCCATGGGCGCCCCACGGGTGTCCCACGGGCGGTCTAGCAAAACTGCCAGCATGGTAAATTGTCTTCCTGTGCTGGTATGTAGACTATTATTGTGTATGGTAGACTAGACTACTGCTGTGCTTTATTTTTTTCGGCACGGCTACTTGGGACAAGTTGTCCCAAATTTTTATTTGGGACAACACGTCTAACTCGGCGTAGAAAGCTCGGATCGACCTCAAACCAAGTTTGTTGTAATCCTACTGGACACAGCTTTCACGGAATGTATTTTGAGTCCACAACGGAGCCGGGGCNCCAAGGGGCACCGCAGGATTATTGGGAGGTGTCCTGTACATATCCGCGTAGTTACATCGATGCGCACGCCCCGCCAAGATGGGAAAGGGCCTGAGATGAAGTTGACCGGCTCCCAGCTTTCATTCAAGCCCTTACAT